TTTACTCAATTATTGATTTTCTTAATCTTTCAATCTCTCCTTTTAATATATCCAACGCAGACTTTTCATTAATTAGTTCTGATTCAAATTACATTTTATCGACCGATACAGTAGAACAAACATCATTTCCAATATGGAATACTGAACTTGCTTGGGAGGTGGATCAAAAAACTTTGCTCATTCTTCGTTCCCAATGGGCACATTTAAAATTACAATGTTTTTCGGTAAATTCATCAGATAAAAGTGAATTGATTGGCTATTCTATGCTGGACCTGAGAACTGCATCGGATCGTCCTGGAAAAGAAAAATGGATTTCTCTTATTAATCCTAGAGTAAGGGGTCTTCATCCTGAAATTTACATTGGATTTTGTATATTACCAAATATGTCACCACCATCGACACCTACTCCTTTAGGATATGTGCCTAGTCCTTTGGGCAAATCAGTTGAAAACCTTTTTGATGTCCAAGATGATGCAATTAATAATGTAGAAGAAAGAAAATACGATAACGATGATTTATATCGAATCGGCACAGATGGATCGGAAATCTTCCTTTTTTCTATTACAATTAATTTTGGTGCTAATTTACACCTGTTATTGCAAGATACTATTTCGTTTATCACACAGCAGCAGTTTCCCGAAGTCGATGAACCTGGTCTTTCCACTCATGGTTACTTCTTTCAATATACAATTTTTGAAAATACAACCACATCAACCAGATTTTATGACCTTACACATCCAAATATAATACCTGAAACGACAACCTTTCGAATTCTTTCGTCTCTAAAAGATATGAAAGATTTTCTTGAAAAAGAATCTTCTTTAGTTGTTAATTTGTATCATGATGATCAAATAATCGGGTTTTCTGACATTCCCTTGAAAGGTCTTTTCGATATAAAAACGGGTGAACCACGTTCTTTGGACAGAGTTTGTCCGATTTATAACACTAAAAGAGAATTACCTGTATCAGCAGATGTACAAATTGCAAGGATCGGACTCTACTTAACTCTTAAAAGAGAAAATACAGAAACATTAGTTGACAGTGAGCCATTAACTTCATCTCCAATTACCATTGAAAGATCACAAACAACACTCTCGGAGAATGTGGATCAAGCGCTTACCCGAGAACAAAATAGCGAACATAAGTATAGCATTTTGATTGTTTTAGAATCGATCAAACTAAATAAGGACATCAAAAACATATTTATTATTTATAGTTATCCAGCGTTAGGTATTTCTAATAAATCAACACAGGTTATTCCGAATGTAGAAGCTGGTTTAGATGTAATATTAGTTAATGGAACTAATGCAATTGATGTTACAATGACTCAGCAGAGACTTAAAAGATACTTTGAAGCTGTACCTTTGCTTATGGAAATATGGCAAAATAATGAACCTAAAGATGTACAAATAGGAGTTGCCACATTACGTTTAGAGGAAGTTTTCTTATCTTTACCTAATATTGATGAAGAAAGCAAAGCAGAAGTTCAAACTTTTACTACTTTAACTCCGATAAAATCTGTAGGTTTAGTCACATCACGAGAAATGGGTCACATAAGTGTTTCCATAAGACTGGATGATCATGGAGAGAAACAAAAAACAATCTTGACAAATTCTAATGGTGGAACTAACTTATCCGAACTTCCTAACGGAACATCACCGGTAGAGTCTCAATCCATGGAAAGACAATCATCTCGTTCTTCTACATCATTATCAGTAACGAAAAATGATTGCGATGGTTCTTCATCATGTATGTCAACATTTCGTTCAGATATACTCCAACAAGCCGAAGAAAACATTAAATTTACTAAAGAAGTACTTGCGGTCGAAAAGAAGAATGCTAAAAATCAAAGTTCACTTAAATCTAAAGTTCAACAACTGAAAGCAATAGATAGACAGTTACAACAATCCATTCTGTATTTTCAAACTCGAGATGAAAATTTATTAAGAGCCGAAAAAGATTTTGATCGACGTTGGTTGGAACTAGACAGGCAATTCGAACAACGAAAAAAAGAAATGCAATTACAATTTCAAGCGGAAATACAAAACCTTAGAATTCAATTGGACTGTACAAAAAAGGCACAAAAACAATATGAAGGTCAATGGTTAAGAGCTTTACAGATTTTAGCTGGTACGCATGAAACAGGAAGTGAGGAAGCTATGTTTTGGAAAGGATTAAAAGAAACGGATCAATGTTGGTGGCAGGTTAAAAAAATGGCAGAAGAAGAGATCGAAGTTATAGATTATGAAAAGTCTGCGTTGGATATATTAAAAGGAGAGATTGAAAGATTAAGAAAATCTTTAAGTAGTAATTGATTATTTAATTTTGGGGATTTACATGATTATTTTATTGCCTATTATTTAACAAAATTCATTACCACAATAAAATTTGATTATACTATTATATATGAATCCTTGCATTATTAATATTATATCACTACATTTTTTATGCAACATTTAAGTCATTTACTCAATTATTGACTCTAAATTACTGATTACCTAAGTGTTGTATCTAAAGAAGAAAAAAATAATTATACCATTACTGTTGATTATTAATACACAAATAATATACTTCATAAGAATATTTTCTCATGAGAAAATAAAGGTAC